ATTGATGCTAATCCATTCTAATAAGGGATGTATGTAGCGGCTGGATATGCGTGTCACCTTGTTCAAAAGAAAACTACATGGAATTCTTCTCATGCGTATGAATTTCGAGTCACCAGTCTTCAGAAAACGGAAACACGAAGTGGAACCCTGGGCCATAGTGGGAGCGTCAACACATCCGGTCATCGCACAACCACAATTGTAAATAGAAAAGAACTGAAATGAAGCTCACTTGAAGTTTACCATTGTTATGCAATGCGATTGCTTTCAAATGTCGCAAGGTACTTGTAACGGACGTGATCACCTCGGATTTATTCGCGTAGCGAGCCGCAGAGGCCAGATCCAAAGCTATAGTTAAATCCCGCTCAGCTTGAGTCGTATTATAGGCCAGCAGATTGTACATCGCAAGCGTCATCCAGTGACGCCAAGCCATGGGATCAATCGGTTTTTTCACACGTTTTCGAACACAATACGAGCAATACTTGTCGCGTAAGTAGAGATTCAATTGTTGTCGTAACCACCGGGCATCATCGGCCGCGTTTTTAATTTGACCATTCAGAATGAATAGCTGATGAGGAAACAAGAATGAATTCAATAGGACATTGGGAAAATAAGGAGTTTTATGAAGGATACATATGAGTTAAATTACAGTTAAGAAATATATACTTACTAATATAACTGGATCAATATCCCGATGAACGGTTTGACTTTATATATATATATATATATATATATATATAGCTATTTCTGAAGTTGACTAACTATAACACTAAGACATTATCTAGCTTTCCTGTCTCGAGAAAATACTGTTTGTAAACCGGCCCAGATGGTGTTGATCGTTGTCGTCCAACGTTCGAACATGACCATATTTGTTCCCTAGTGATGAAATAATCAGACAACTTATCAATTGCGGATGAACAACGATATCAGACCCGTTAGCCTCTTTTGTTATTCGTGGGTCCATTCGAGGCAATCAGTAAAGTCCATAGCCTCAGTATAGTCGGGGTGGGTATAGTGGGCTGTCACTGTTCACCCTTTCCTTACAACACGCGAAATTATTCTACATGACCAAGCGCCTCAAGTAGCTTCAATTAAGGAAGCCCTGCTTATTGCCTTTATGTGGCGAAGATGTTTTCCCACCAAAGTGAGAGGACAAAATGCCAAAATCTGGGGTTGCAACCGCGTTGGTAAACCACTGGCAGTTCACTTAGGGGAGTTGGCTAAAACCCCTGATTCCAAAGCAACCAAGAGGCGTACGAATCACACACACCTTCCTAGTTGTGGCAGCAATCACCGGTTCAATTGGGTACTCTGGACGATGGACCCAGTCCAAAGGGCGTATGATCCGATGAACTGGACGCCGGCCTCGATTGGACTGCAAACTCTGAGATCTGTCCTGCCGTCTTGCAGGTCTGGGTTTCAAGTCAAAGGCTTCGGGTGGGGACCCTGAGATTATCCCCCTTCGTCAATCAGGACAACCGTGAACTATCATGCCCACACAACCTCCGAACACTTTCTACAGATGTTTTCCTCGTAAGTTGTGGTACATTTACCAGTTCTATTCAACTCGTTACATGTTGAAAATAAAAATTCAAAATAACCACAGCACTTGAAATTTCTGTGTAAACATCCGGATACAGCATCGATTCACAAACGCAAAAGATCCCATTGGAATACAGAGCCACAGCAACTTTGTATGCAAGACAGATGGCAACGATTGCCCTGCCTAACTCAAAGGACAGCAAGAAAGGCACCCAGAAGTCGAGAACACAAAATACAAAAGGATAGGAATGTCTAAACGAACGAAAAGAACCGCCCAGCTATAGATACACTCCGAAACGTGTTCGGCTCTGAGTCAACAAGCATGCTACAACTGTTCAATTGCACTGTTTAGACAGCTTCAGTCTGGTTCTCAAGCGCAAACCTCAAGACAATACTATTTCAACGATATCTCCAAGACTCGGATCATTCACAACGATAGCAAAACTGCTGCCCAAACTACGACGAATATATTTTTATGTTCCAGCAGGTTAACGTTCAATTGACATATACCTCGCATTGGACGGTCTTTCCTGTGATATGCTATCCCAACTTTTATTCAATCTCTTTGGTATGGATGACAATTCTGCACCTACCTTGTCTTTGTTAGTTAAAAAAACATTTTTCCTTAATTCACTTGAATAGACCGAGTGGCAAGACATGACCAGGGTTGATTTGGGCATCAGTTTCGCGTGCTGTCAATCAGCTATCTGATTCAATCATATAGGTTTCAGTGCTACAATAGGAACACTGAGTTTCTATTGCGTAATCTTTTTATATCCACGCTAACTAAAAAAAGCTTTATCTAAATGAACTGTTCTCCTTTTCTCTTTTCTTCGTTACGCACATTTGCGTGATAAACAACAGACGGGGTGGAAGACCTGCTGTTCAGAGATTGAAACCGGTAACCTGAGCCACAGGACATGGAGTGGCAAACTATTCAATGCCTGCCACATTAGACGTGGTACTGAACCGGATGACAGCACCATCAAAAGTAGCTTGCCTGAGGACTTTCCAGTATTTTTCGATCAGAGTGAATCAGGTTCTACGTTCAGCCGAGTATACTTTACCCTATTTGTTCGCTAAACTCCAATAACACAAGAACCAAATATTAATCACTTAACCGATCACGTGAATGCAAGGGAAATCAACCAATGAAACAGATGCGCCCATGTGTGACCATATATCAGATCGAAAAAACATGAACGCCGCTGGCAAAACTGATTTTGATCACCAAATTCGAGTGCTCTCCATTCGCTGTCAACTAGCAATACATGTACACTAATACTTTATACAGAAGAGGTGCATGTGTGAAAAATAACCGGTTGTGTATTAAAAACGGGTTGCAGGAACGCTTCGCTCACAGGAGTGAGGAAATAAGGGAATAAATTACAACAATCATCATCAGTTTGAATTAATTTGGTCATGTGAGCATCCGAACAGTGATAGTGTCGGAATAGCAGTAAATCAACCGAAAGGATTTTTATTGGGAACCAGAAAACAAGAATCTGAGTGAGCTGAAACCAAGCAACAAATGCAAACGTTTTTGCCAAAGCCCTCGGATACACAACATGTATCGACCGAGACCGACAGTAGAATTCAAGCGTGTGGATACATGTTGGGTTCCCTAAAACCTTGGAGGATGGATGAACCCCACCTTTGACTACACATTCGAACGAAGGTTCAAAATGATCAGCTGTGCAGACCCAGAAAGATGTGATTCGTTGGCAAAATAGGAGATGCGTGACAGATGTACTGTTTGGCCTGGATCAAAACTGGATTGCCTTAGGCAACCACATTGTAACTACAATAAACATATTTTATAACGGCTTGAGCACAACTATGATCCCAACGCAACAGAAATGATAATATGAACGGTAGGAATGGATACGGATAAGTGAAAATAAAGTGAGGGGGAACCGATATCGGAAAACAGGAATAACAAATGAATGGACAATTATTTGCTAGCTTCACCGTTCACATGGCGCAGTTTGCATATTATTGCAGAACTGAATCGTACCATTTCTCAAGATTTCGTGCGATTCCACAGGTGAGGCTATCGGGTGGTGGGAGTTTTTAACTTACGATTGTTGTGCATCTGTTTCGCGATGCACTTTATTAATGACCGACCATGAGCACCGGACAGTTGTTGATCGTTATTGAAACAACTCAGCAGTGCATGAAACGGCAAAGACCAGTGTGAATGAGAATACATAGGGCACAACAATACTCTAAGCCAACGAGGTTTTA